TTTGCATGATTCACATACCGTTTGTTCAGGCATGATCATATTAGACAAGTGCAGTCTGAAATTGAACACTGTTTTATGAAATTAAAAATTGGAAAATGAATAGAAAACTTTACAAGAATAGAATATAAGGTTTTGGTTTAAGTCTAAATTATAATATTTAATATACTCATATTGAGTCAGATTCATGCGGGAATTATGAAATTTTGCGTTAATGGAATGTAAGAAGAGAGGTGATATACAGGTGCTAGAGTAAGCCACACTGGATCCAGACCGTTATTTTTATCATTTTATCAATCAATAAGAGTTCGAAAATTTTATAAAAATCCACATTAGATGGTAAGTACAGCATTATATTGGTATTAGCAGATAATAATAATAATATATTTCTTCCTGTTTATGCAGGAACATACCAATTGTACAGGCATGGATAAGTTATTATATAAATTACACAAATTGATGTATGATGAATTTACAGTTTGGTTGTTCTTTCTGACATTAGAGTCAGACGGAACAGTCTGCTATAAAGTCTGTTTGTGTAGCACATAAAGAGATATAGAGATATTGTCTTCGCATTAAAAAAACCCAGACATCAGATGAATGTAATGCGGATATCTGGGGAAAAAAGCTTGAAGTCAATCCTCTTACATAACTTTGTTGTGAACAGCACCCTCGGCTCAAAGTTTATTGATGTATTATGTTGAGATCAGTGATATATTTATTCCATTTTTTCAGTAGTCTTATCGTAGTTTTATAACAGGAAAGAAATTTGATCGTGGATACGAAAACTAGATGAGGTCATGTGAAGTTGTTTTACTGCATCAAATGGTGCTGAGGTCGGTTCCAGAATTCTCCATTTGCTCCATTTGTGTCTGCATGGTGGACTGCATTCGTAAGTTCAGAAAAATGTTGAAAACTGTTTGAAAACCAGTTGCTTCTTCATTTCAGACCATGAATACTCATTTACAGCATGTTCGCCAGCGTCTTCAAATGGTAGAATTGGATCGTTCATGGAATTTGGGTGGTTATGAGGTAGATGGTTTGAATTAATCCTCATTTCAGTTTAGATAGAAGGGACATTGGTCGCAAAGTTAACTTTGCGATTTGAACAGAATTCAGATGGAATTTGTTCCGTTGTTCATCGTAAGTGCTAACAATATTCTGGATACGCTCAAGTAATAAAATGTAGAAAGAGGATTATGTTCATTAGCATGCTTAGTCAATACCTGAGAAGTGAAGAAAACAGAAGCAGCCAGCAGATATGATAATTTAAGTAAACAATATGCGATAACCGCAGTGTTTTCTTTTTTATTACTAGGAATTTCTAGTCATGAGTTTTTAGTGTTACATACAACGGTTGTTTAAGTTTATATAGTAAACAACAACTGAAGTATAGAATAACAATAAAATAAAAAGTAAAAATTAGGGCGAAACGAATTATGGTTTTCACTCTTATATAGGGTAATGTTGGGAATAGTAACTGAAGAAGTGAAATGCAAATGCCAAAGTACACAAGTTATTTAAAAGAAAAGAGGAAGTATATTAATACTGATTTATGCTGTTGTTCTGATTTATACAGTTAGATGTCCTCCTGAAGTAGAGGAATCGTACCATGAGCCATTTTTTCAAAGAGTTTGTACGCAAGCTGTGACATACAGGCAGCATTTATTTTTTATTTTATTTATTAATAATTTTTTTGAAGTAATTCATCCTCAGGAGCCTTAGCGGTATAGTGCATTCCCACAGATAAGGGTGGTTCTCTTAGGTCCCCACCATCATATCCGCTGAATAGCAATCACCACCCTCCCACCTTAGACACGTCGTATAATTGTTAGTAATTTACATTCCACGATACAATGACTTGGGCGCGTCACTGTTCAGAGTTGAGGATATAGATGATAAAAGGAAGTCAGGAAATGAACTATGCGATTTTCCAACCTAGGGCGTCAACCTGAGAAGGGTTGCAGGCGTACTGCTGTGAGTCCTACAATTCTTCAACGGTAGTTCGTGAAGGCAGAATCCACAACATTTGATATATTGATTGTACATATGTTGGTGTTAAATAATTGTGTGGGTTCCAATTATTGTAATTATTGATTATTCTTGTTTGTGTCCGGACATTCCACAACTTACAATCGTCAACCTGTGAAGGGTTGCAGACGTACTGGTGTAAGTCTTGCAATTCTTCAAAGGAATTCCATCGAGACATGTAGGCGAGGTTATGTGTACTGTTTGTATATGTGTGGTGTGTCATATCAATTGTTGTTTTTGGATTAATTGTGTTTACTCGTTGTTTTCGTACCTTGTTTTTATTGCGTAATTTTGTTAAAATTTTCGTCGTGATTACTTCTGAAGTTGTTTCGAGTCTTCTACATCCGTGAATGAATTGATTGATGTTAAAGACTGCAGATGGGTCGTATACGCCGGGGAGGCTAGGCTATTGCTGAGAATGACATGCATACGGAGATAATTGTTAGCTAAGGTCCTACACTCCGAGGAGCATGGGTGTGGATGATTGAGGCTAGCATATGTCACCGTTACTAAAACTGAGGCAGAATGAGTGACAAGCGATTGAAGTGGTAATTGGTAATGAGTGGATAAGAGGATGTGCGTAGAGTATCGTGAGGTGCTGCCATGGTCACGTTGCATTCTGCAAGAGTCATTCTAGCAAGTGGCGATTGTGTTGCAAGATGTCAAGAGGAGGTCTCTGTCTGGAGGCGCAGGTCGTCATTGATGTGTGAGATTGTGCTGTGGGTATGCTTGTGGTGTGTTGGCTTTTCTGTTTGTTTTCCATTTCAGCTCTGTCCGTGTGACCCAGGTTCTCGCAATGGCATCCAAGTCAACGTGTATTGGTCGTGATGGAAAAAAGGTATGGATCCGTGTTTTGCCGGGGAGTGTCAATGTAGTTGAAGATTGAACGATCAATTCATGGTTGTTTGCTCAAAATCAACTTCCCCGATTTTCGCGGAGGCATCAATACGACAGTCATCGTCTCATCGATCGCACAAAACCGTCTGAAGTAATATTGTGGTTTCTTACTGTATTATTTGTTCATAGACCTTAATTGTAAAGTTGGCTATATGTTGGTTTTAGAATAAAGAATTCTCGAGTCGCCAATCGGTGTTCTGGTTTTTGTGTCCGTTCGTACTAAGCGTTGCTGAGAAGCTTCGAGGGACAGCGTGAGGCCAAGCGTAGCAAGAGCTGGACATTAGCGGTTTACGAGACGTGGCTGACAGCTGCTGTAGCAGGAAGGCCGCTGACTTCGGCTCCTGAGTCGGCTAAGTATCGGGTCTGGTTGACCAGATCACTAGGTGACTAGTGAGAACAGCAACAATGTCAACGCGTGCCAGCGGGATAGTTTCCTTGTAGTCTTCGAGACATTTCCAAGGTCACACTGTTTTCGGCAGTACTTCACTTCCTGGATATAGGCATTGTGATACCAGCACCAGTCAGGGATTTTAGGTGGATGTGGCTTGGGTTTAGACCGACTGCGTGGGTTTCGCTGTTGAGAGGAACTGTGACAGTGATAGGGGAATTACAAGTTATATTTGACCTAAGTAGGCGCTGGACGGAATTGCATAACACTATCACTGCAAAGTATTTTCTGGAAGTCTGTTGGGCAACTGAGCATATTTCAGTGACTGACCGTTTCGTTATTTCTAGAATTTCATTCGCGGAAACAGCTTACTCGTCTAAATTACAGCCAGAAGTGTCACCAGCACGGCCTGTACTAACTGTGGCAGTTTGGATAAGAACAGTTCTTCGAAAAGTCCCTCATCGAACCAACGTTGGCCAATAACTTTCCTCATTCTCGTTAGCATGCCCACAGCCAACTGATCACCTAACCCCACGTTGCGGGATAATTCGTCCATACGCTGTCAATCCGTTAGTTCGTTTCTCTTTAGGAGGGTTGTTTCAAGCAACTCATGCGAGTCACTTACCTCTGGGCTGGACATCTGCACAGTTACGCACTTACAGAATTCCCGAAGTAGGGCGTGGACAAACGCAAGGGACTGTGAACGTTGATCAGTTATCCCATGCTCACTAAAATCAGACTCTGTCATGTAAATGCGCAGGTCGTACTACACTGGACCTCTCCAAAGATTCAGCAGATTAATAGCAAAAGCCAACTATGCAGAATTCCACTTTATGCCAAGAACTTGTAATTATCAGTTAGAAATGGGATCAAAGAACCCTCCTTCATCTTGGTCAAGATTTTAGATATTGGAGGATTACTGCACTGGATACCTTCTTGCTAATGGCAGGAGCTCTTTACCTATGCCATTGTCATAAGTTTACATACTTTCGTTCCCAAAGAGTCGCAGTGAGGAAAGCTTGAAAATAAATGTTAAACAACATCGATATTCACTATTTGGAAATAGTTCTAATACTTCAGAGCAGTTATGGTGACGGTTTTCCAGAACAGATCAGCAACGGGGATATCTGGGTGCGAACCAAACAGGAACCGATTGTGCAGCAAATATGCAGGAAGAAATGGAAGTTGATTGGCCATACTCTGAAATAACAAACCATCAATTGACATCACACAACAGGCCACCACTGGAATGGAACCCGAAAGGGAAGAGGAGATTTGGTTGTCCAAGGGTGACATGGAGAAGGTCATATGAAGAGGAGATAAAAGCATGTGGGCAGACGTGGAACCAAGTGAAAATGTTGGCAGAGAACCGAACGCAATGGAGACGTGCGGCTGAAGCCACATGTCCCTCTAAGAAACTAAAGGAAACAATAATTATATTATACACAGGCTTAGCAAAGTGGTGAAGCTTTGTCGATAATTATAACTATTAAAGACAAACTCCCCTCTAAGACATCTGGGCCACCCCTGGAAATAATTTTTTTTCAGAAAAAATACAACGTTAAATTGAATACATTGAACAATAAACACCCGGTCATACTATAAATACTCAGTTGTCTTATTGATGACAGATTCGTCTCTGTGCGTTACTTTTATTTTGGAGAATTCGTCCTAGTTTCTTCTTATCATGCCGTGTGAAATGAAGCTACTGTACATTGTACTCGTTACAACATTATGCATTTCATTCAAGCTTGAAGTTGTCGAATCAAAGTCAAAGCCTCGGACGTTGGATAAGGTATTGTATTTAATACAATATATATTTGTCTTTGTAGGACCTCAGTGATGCTCCACATGTTCATGACGGAGAGCATAGTTCTGTATATGATCACGAGGCGTTTTTGGGGAAAGACGAGGCTCAGAGATTTGATGACTTAACACCAGAAGAGAGTAAAGAAAAATTAGGGTATGTGAACTTGTGACCTTTCTATTATTTCTCTATCTTCTAGTATTCTAAAAGAGTTAATATTTCCATTTCTTGCTGAATTTCAGCAGTTTTCATATGAGTATAAAGTGATGATATTTGCCTGAAACTACCCGTCTCAACCTTCTGCATACTGCTTCTTAGCAAGGACTTAAGTCTCATAGATATATATGTGAATGTACTGGCTAGTTCGGTTTTCTGTCAAGGTTCATTCATCTTTCTCAGGTTAAAATAAATACGTTTTGTCTCGTAGTACCGACAGCTTAACCTTTGTGACTCTGAATTGTCCTACTGATAAAGACCATGACTCATTAAACGTGATAAATTTATAGGACATATCTTGAGCTCGTGTGTAAAATGTGAAGATTGGTAATTGAGGTCTTCTCATAATATTTGGCATTCTTACTGTTGGTCCATTTCAGCCAAATTGTCAACAAAATTGACCAAAACGGAGATGGTCAAATAACTACTGATGAGATGGCAGCTTGGATCTCCAAGGTATCGAACAGAATGCTTCTTGAAGATACTGATCGGACATGGAGAGAATACGGATTATCAGATGGCGACAAGATGTCATGGGAGAAACATGTCAATGAGTTAGTTGGAGAAGACGGAGAATACGAAGGTATGTTAAGTTCCCTTGTAGCCTTATTTTGCATTGTGTAATGTTAAATGTTATCTACCCGATGAGAAATCTTATAATCTTAAAACAAATTTATAGATGAAGACGACGAAACAAAGAAGACACTTTTACAAAGAGATGAGAGGCGTTGGAAAACTGCTGATACTGATGGAGATGGAAAACTGTCAAAGGAGGAATTCCTTGCATTCCTTCATCCAGAGCACGAACCGAAGATGCGAGATGTCATTGTTAAGGTAATTTGTGAGTTAAATGAATGTTCTTGTATTTTTGTTGTCTTTATAAGTTTTCTTGTAGACAGAGCTGCCATGGTCAGTAAAGTCATCATCAGTTGTGCTTCACTGCGAATAGGTACTTTTTAGGGTTTCGAAAACCATATGTGGTTAATAAATATTTTGATGTTGCGTTGTCTGACCTGAACGGTTTAATCGAAATCTATCTTGATCTATGTTGCTGAGAGTTATCAAAAGTTGGTTCTTGAAATCTTAATGAGTGGAGTAACATTCTAAACTTCACAATAGGTACTATGCGTCACCTGATAATATCGTGTATTCTAATGGTCACTGATCAATTGACCCAATTATATGGACGCAATGAAATACTAAAGCCGTTGGTTTTAAAGATGCACACAACTTTTTGTTGAATTATGCCATAACGCACTTTATTCCACAATATTCTTAATTTTCTCTGATTTAGGAAACAATGGAAGAGGTAGATAAAAATCATGATGGATATGTTGACCTTGATGAGTACATAAGTAAGTTTTAGTATTTTAAATGGTCATTATGTAAAATTTCAATTTGTAACTATGTCTAACCTCTTCCTCCTGTATTTTAAGGAGATTTATTACGTTCTGAACAGATTTATCTTGGAGAAAAAAAGCACAATGCACCCGAAATTTAATCAGTTTTTTCTGTTTATCTAGACAGTTTTGAATCTATTTTTCTTACCTATGAAGTTGTTTTAGAACCCTTTAAAGTTTACCAAGTAAAAACTCAGATTAACAAGTCTATAGTTGTTAGGCTGCATGAATATTCAGTCGTACATCTTGTAATTATTTCTGGATGACTAAAATGTAAATAGCTTAGTTTTTTTTGTATATGGACATTTTATTCAGTATAGTACATAATCTGGGTTGAAATTTTATCTTACAGAGGATTTGTGGACTCCAAATTCTCCAAATGAAGCAGAACCTGAATGGGTTAAAACTGAAAGAGAAGAGTTTTCCAAGAGACGTGATCTTAATGGTGACGGTAAACTAGACGCAGAAGAAGTTAAAAAGTGGGTTGTGCCAGAAGATTTTAATCATGTTCAGGCAGAAGTAACTCATTTGTTCTCAGAATCAGACGCTGATCAGGTGAGGTTTGCTTTAAGCTTGTTGTATTTACTGTCTTCGGTATATTTTTATATAAGTAAGATGCTATAGTTTTCACGTGTTATCCATGCTATTTAAATGTTTTCACCAGTTCGATTTCGCTAAATGATTTTTTAGTCCTTTTCCAGCGTTAAATAGGTTGATATTTATTAACAACACTAAATTGTTAATAATGAACATTAATTGTCAGTATGCATATACAATCTTCACTAAGTTTTGAATACTTATTCTTCCTTAAATTTCAGTTCATACAAATGCTTAATTTGTTTTCTCATTCCAATTCCTTTGCACCATTTTTATCTAGGATGGGAAACTAAGCAAGAATGAAATACTGAATCGTTATGATCTCTTTGTCGGCTCTCAAGCAACCAATTTTGGAGAAATCCTAACTAGTCATGATGAACTTTAAAATAACCAAAGAAACACTTTAACCGATGAATCAATTTATGATCAATCAGTCGATTGTTTTAAAATATCTTGCTGATTTTGTTTCATGTTTTAATCTTGAAGCTTTTTGGGTTCATAGGTTCTCTTTTATCACTCCTTTTTATACGAATGTTTTATTTCCATAATTTCCTACTTTTCTGCACATATTTTCAAAGATATGGCATAAAGCTAGCTAACTAACTAGCTAGGTAGCAAGTAGTTTTCTTTTTAAAAACTACTTACTTTGTAAGTGCATGTAACAGCGCTCATTCAATCGTTGTCTCTTGCATGCATTTTATTTTAACTTCAGGTTTTTTAAGCATTCTTATTTCAATTTTCTGTGACTTTTGATTTTCTGTTTGTATAGAAATCAAAATAATCTTTAATGTCATAATTTTTGCATATAACTACTTTTTACAAGCTTGTCATAATATATTCAGTTATATACAAAACGTAGATTCTTCTCTTTTATTTCATTCGCATACTAAATTATGTTCTACATGATCCTTTCGCTGTTCAGAAGGTGGGATCCTGTGACTAGGTATTGTAACAAGTTGACGATGTTATGTTGAGCAAAGACTGTATTCAGGTAAAGATTGTGCTGCTAAGTAAATGTATGTAGGTTCGTGCACTAGATCAGAGCCATTCCACTGTATCTGAGTGAGCACTACCGTGTGTTTAAGGAATCCTCGTTATGTGGAGTCCAGTTGCGAAATACCCTTCATTCAAATGTAATTGGTTTAAGCATAGCTAGTATATGCATTCAAGAGAAATATTCTTCAAGCACCTCGCTTTTTCATTACATTCTTGTAACCACCTACGGGAGTCACATCCGTCGGAAAAATTCCCCATATCTTGGTGAATAATTTAGGTAGAGCTTTCTGAACATCGTTTGTGTGCTTTCAGATGTAAAACTTTTCTGAATGGAAACTATTTAAATTCGTGCCATTTTAGCCACAGGCTGTTGTAATGAAAGTTGGTTGTTTGTGGTTACAATACAACTGAATAAGCGATAGATTAAGAATTTATTGTATCGTATCAGTACAGCTTAGTTTCATATTGTCATTAATAAGTAATAAATAAGTAGGCATATTTTTTTAAAATAAGACAGCAAAACATTATGTGACGTAAAGAGAATCATCCCTGATACTGGATATTTTTACACATTAGGTGAAGTTTCTAATTTTTGAGACTGACTACTTATAAGTAGCTAAGCGATTTTCGGACAAAGTTAAACGTCATTTTTTCTTTCTCTGATTTTGAAATGTTGACGGTGTTGGGAGGTGTGTGTTCCATGCAAACGAAGATGAATACATGGTTTCATTTGGACGTCTCCGAACATTCTCAGATTAGTAACATAACAAACAAAGTTAGAAGATAAGCGATAATGAGAAGTTATTTACCTCTTCAAGCCAACGTGTATACTTAATAAAATTGATATTTGCAGATATATGTTGAAATAAGTAGTCCCTATATTTTATTAAGAGAGCTATTCTGAACTCTACCAGGGGAATGGTCTAAATTTAAATCTCAAAGCTGTCCTTAAGTGGGGAGGGGTCTAACTCTTTGTTTAACCATGTATAGGCCATAAATTTTTTCGAAGCCAAAATTATTGCTACTTGATTATGAAAAAGATTTTATTTTGATAAATCACACAGTGTTATACAGCAATATTAACTGATGACGTTTAAAGCACAAGCTATTGCTCAAAATCATATCAAGTCACTCAACTTTTTACTTCATTTATATGCATGAGAGGAATTGATTAGGCATTCAATAAAATCAATGTACATTTAGAAATAATAATATGAGTGTTATTGATCAATTACAATCAGATGGGAAATAAGACGAGTGTTTTTATAGTCAAAATAAGTAACTTGTTAGAATGTTGTGATGCACTTGAATACTCATATTATTTCTCAATGTCCATTATCCTATATTGGTTTATATTCAAATATCTAATTAACTCCACTCATGTGTATAAATGAAGGAAAAAAATGGTTTTTCACAATAATAATAAGCTTTATTCCAAAACAGTACTTGCGATACAGAATGGAATTCTCAGCATTTTACTACAGTGTTGCATCCAGTTATAAATTAACAATAAAATAAAATTCTACATAGTTTAAGGGTAATCTCAGTTAGTTTTGACAACAACATATTGGCATGTCGGTAGCAAAGCCAAAATTAAACAGAGTGTTTGAAGGTGCTAGAAAAGTAGATGATTGCATATTTACTGGCGTAAGCAGAAGAAAGAAATAAAGCTGCACATAACAGAAAAAAGAGAGAGAGAAAAGGAAAAGAAAGAAAGGAAAAACGTTGTACATATATACGATATGAGTTGGAAAGACGAGGTCTAATTGTTCTGCTGACTATTTAATAAGTTATATGTGTCACACCTAATGCTTTCTTCATCGCACAGAACACGAGCTAAGTAGGGTATGGTTGAGTTTTTGTACTTACTAGTGCGAGCATATAGTTTTCTATATCGGCTTCTGGTTTTCCCTGAAGAGATACAAGGGGAGAGTTGTGAATGAAGAGGGTGTTGTGAGTCAGATAAAATGGATTTAGCCCATTTTTCACATGAGTCTATGTGCCTGTCCATCAGAATATTAACGAGCTCGTTAAGTGGCACATAGCTTACCCTGCTGACAACCTTTAACATCCTGCGTAATAAGGTATAGTCTTTCTTCAGTAGCCCAGGAAAAACTAAGGGGGAACAATAGAGAATAATAGGCAGAATACGGGAGTTAGCGAATTGTGGGAGTAAGGATTGGGTTATACCAGAATGTCTTAACTTCTTGATGTAGAAGGTAAGACGGAATATTTTCTTAGAAATCATCAAGATATGAGACGACCAGGAAAGATCAGCAGATAGAATGACGCCTAGGAATTTCATTTCTGACTTGGTTTCTATTTCAGTGCCATGAATGTTGCACACCTCGTGAGTGCTAGCCAGTTTGTTTAGGTCAGATTTGTGCCTAAAGGTGAAATTAACTGTTTGGCATTTGGAGGGGTTTAAGGTGAGACCGTTTTCCTTGGACCATTGGCTGACTTCTGATAAAAAACCACTTAGTTTAGAGCAGTCACTTTGACATTTGACAGGCAAAGATACAGTTAGGTCATCAGCATATTTGACAAAGTTAATGTCATTTGAAGATGGTAGGTCATGTAGAAAGAAAAAAAAGAGAAGTGGGGAAAGTACAGCACTTTTGGGGACAACAGCTTCAGTGAGCACAGCAGAGGAGGATTTGGCTTTGTATACGGTATACTGCATTCTGTTTGAGAAGTAGGAATGCAACCAGTTAGTGACCCAAGACCCAATCTGTGTCATAGAGAGCTTATTTGTCAAGAGACATCTAGGTGCAGAGTTGAAAGCAGAAGTGAAGTCAAGAAACGTGCAGCGGACGTATTTGGCATCTTTATCTAATGATGGGACGATACTGTTGTGTAAGACAACTGCAGCGTCTAAAGTACTCCTACCCTGTCTGTAGGCAAATTGTTTGGGTTCTTCAAAGCTTTTAAGGGAGGGTTCGAGTTTAAGAAGTACTAGTTTTTCCATAAGCTTTAGAAACGGGGAAATGATGGCAATGGGTCTGAACTTTACATTCTTGCTATTTCCAGGTTTAGGGACAGGAACTATTTTAACGTCTTTCCATGGAACAAGTACAACGTTTTCGGAGAAAGAAGCATTTAGGATGTTAGTTAGAGGAGAACATAAAGCATCAGCGCATTGTTTTAGAACATATGCAGGTATACCATCAGGGCAAAGACTACATGAGGGCTTAAGTGTTTTAAGACAGTTTAGAACATCGAGAGTGTTAAAGTCCAGAAAGTTATCAGCTACATGATTAGTAACGTTAGAAGTAGTTATAGTGGAAGGAGAGCGTATAAAAGACTGATTAAGAGCATTAACATTATAAGAGAGAAAAACATTACATCGCTTACTATTGCCAGTAATTTCATTGGAAAGTTTCCACATGCTGATAGGAGATTTGCATGATAAAAGTGTTTGGTTATAGATAGCATTCAGTTGTGTGAGTAACTTGATCTGATTATGAGTAGCAATAATTTGTGCTCGAAACGTGGTCATCAGTTAATATTACTATATTACACTGTGTGGCTTACCAAAATAATATCTTATCCATAATGGAGTTACACTGTACCATTGTGCCCAAGTTCTATACTTATATAGGTTATTGCTACTTGTTATAATACGTGTATAGTGATTACATACCTTGTAAATCGATGAGGAGTTTGAAAATCTAAGCCTTTATTTATGTCTGCTTTACACTTGGGGCCTAATTTTCGTGGAACTATCAAGCTGAATCTTCTTCGAAGTTCCTATAAGGGTATACATTGATTTACATGTAAGGAGCATTTGGATAAAATATTCATAGATTTTTTTTGTATCCATTTGGAATTCATCAATGAGTACACAGGTGAATCAACGGTGTTATTGGAGCCGAATTCAGAGAGTATAGGTTCACCTGTTGAACAGACAAAGATGGAATGTCACTTATTCAAAGGTTTTATGATATTAATGGAGTTATTCTACACGTTTTATGGGACAGTCTGTACGACTTTCTGAAAATGACGTATAAACACTTAATGAGAGAGACACTAGTACTAATTTTTCTGTATACTTTAAGTTATCACTGATTATCTATATATGTAAGTATATCTTATTTTGACAACTGTTCAGGTCCTGAATTAGAAATATATTGTTTCACTTTTGGGAACTTTTGAGCTAAAGCACTGAAATACTTCAGGTATCTTCTGTAGCAGGTTTCATTTAAAAAAATCTTACGCGTATTTCTGGGCTTTTCTGTTCAAATCATTACGTCATGGTAACTGAGAATTCCAGTAGCGACTGATGTTAGAAGAAGCACTGTTGCACCAACTCCTAGTTTTTTACAGGAAGTCGTTTTGATTAATCTAAAAGCTAGTTGTCCACCTTTATCTTCATTCCTATCTTCTTTC